GCTTAATGCGGAAAAAGAAATTAATGAAAAAATCCAAAATTTACAGCCTATGGAAATTGAAACTAAAGATGGTCACAAATGTGAAATCAAAGCTGAATTGTCGTTAACGATGATGGACGGCAGTGTGACCAATATACTCTCGGAAACAAATTCTACAATGAAGTGTATTATTTGCGGAGCCACCCCTAAAGATATGAATACAACTGAAGTAAGTAGTCGTCCATCTAACCCAGATAATTATCGCTTTGGTTTGTCCACATTACATTGTTGGATTCGTTTTTTCGAGTGCCTTTTGCACATCGGATACCGGCTTCCAATAAAGTCATGGCAAGTTCGAGGGACTGAAAGCAAAACTATCGTAGAAGCCAACAAAAAACAAATCCAAGCAGATTTCAAAACCAAAATGGCTTTAACAGTGGACAAACCAAAACCAGGGTATGGCTCTTCAAATGACGGGAACACTGCCCGAAAATTTTTCCAGAATCCCAACAAAAGCTCTGATATCACTGGGGTTGACAAAAATTTAATTGAAAAGTTCTCAATTATTTTACGGGTTTTAGCAAGTGGAGGCATAATTGATTTAGTAAAATTTAAATTATTTCTAGAGGAAACGAGGACTTTATATATAAAGCTATACAAATGGTACAATATGCCTTCATAAAGTGCTAGTTCATGGATGTGAGATAATCGATGCCTTTTCTTTACCAATCGGAGAAATTTGTGAAGATGCTCTTGAAGCTAGGCATAAGGAGGTAAGAAAGCATCGATTATCTCATACCCGGAAATGCTCTAGAATAGCATCAAATAAAGATTTATTCCGCATTCTTCTTCTTACCTCAGATCCTTTTATTTCTTCAAAAAGAAAAATAACCACCAGAAAATGTGTAAGTTCAGATGAAGAAATAAAAAATTATCTGAAGAAAAAAGAAAATATAAGTCACGGTTTAGATCTAGATTTAGAGGAATTCGTTAATTATAATAGTGATGAAGAGTCTTCATATTCTGATTAAAATTGCAATTATTGTTTTAATTTAAATGTTTTTTTGAAAGTTTCTTGTTCATTTTTGTACACGTTCTAGTTTAACCCCAAGTAGAGTAGGTTTAATTAATGAACTGAGAAAATCTAAAGTAGACTTAGGAAATAGTGTTTGCTCCTAACGGGCTTTATTTTACCTCAATTCTTGTGACAAATAATTAAATGTATTAGTCCTACCACAACCATAGAAAAATACAAGTAATTTAGTCACTTGTATGCAAAATGTAAAACATAAATATACAGGGTGTCCCAGTAGAGCGTCCTCGATTGATATGTTGATAACTGTTATTTATAGCACCTACAAAAACGGTTAGAGATAGGAAAAATAAATTTCACTTCAACTCTTCAAGGCCTATTCAATTATGGTGGTACCTTGGTACATCATGGTAGCACCAAATCTAGTAGCGTACATTGTCATTCTTCTTTCATTGGTACCAACATTGTGACTTTCGGATAGTATTTGAAAAGTTAAGATGGGAAAGTGAAATTTATTTTTTGTTAACTCTAATCGTTATTATACTATTAATGGTTCAAGAATGTAAAATGCCAATTTTACCTTAATAGCTTGAAAGCAGTTGAATTTAGGTATAGTATATTATACATGAAATGTGCCTAAAATGTTGCGTAGATGCCAAATAATATGAAGAATTCTACAGGGTGTTTCATCAGAAAAACACAGCTTTGCTCTGGTACAGATTTTTGAAATACCCTGTATGAATGAAAATATTTTTAGATTATGCAACCTAATTACTGCACAATTTTTTAAGCGAATTTTTTCTCTATCGCTAGTTGTTTGGGTTAGTTATTAAAATATCAACCGATAACGCACTATTGTGACACCCTATATATATATTTGCTCATTGCATACCTACTCATTACTCCTGTATTTTTTTAGTCTAAACTATAAGTAATAAAACAGCGTTTACAGAATTGAAATTGGTTCACTCATTTTTGAGATATCTAATTTTGTCCTTAACGCATATACCACGCCACACTGTGTGATGGTAAGAATTAATGGTAACGTGTTTACGATGCACCTTTAGTAATAATATTGTCGAGGATGGAATTATTCGATATATAAAATAACATATTTAATATTAATATATTTCGTAAATTAATAATTCGATTGAAAGGAAGTATAAAATAATTAAAGTTCATTGGCATTTACGCAACAAAAGTAAAGTTTTAAAAATCAAAGTTATAAGCATAATTGGCAATTGCGAAAATATTTCCTTTCCTTGAACTAACTAAGAAAGTACTAAGCCAAATAGAGAATTTACTTCATTGTTTCTAAAATTTATTTTGGTTTTACTGTGTTGGTTTAATTATATAAAGTTTCTAGATTCATAATAACTACATAAATAAATACATTTTTTATAGAGAATTGTTTAAAAATACTTAGTAACTTTTTTTTTGTCTATCGAGATAAAATATTTTATTATCAACTTTGTTCAGCTTTGAATAAATATTATAAATTTATTTTATTTTGTAGGTATTTCTAAATTATATTTTTATGGTTCCTTAAAAATATTTACTCAATAATTGCAATCGTTTATATATGTTTAGTTACATTGCGACTACTAAATATTAATACAAATTTCAATAACGACTAAAACAAAGTCTTGATTAAAATTCAAGAGTCGTTAACTAAAAAAACAAAGACAAATGCAGAGCATAGTGTCGTTATTTTAAAGTAGGAATGTCATTCAGGCTCGTGACTTTGCAAAATAATAATTCTAATTTGAAATTTAAAACATTTTAAAGTAACTTTTAAAGAAAGTAGGGCAGTGTAAGACTACCAATATTTCAGTCGATTTAAATACCATACGGCCAAAAAAAAGGACGGTAAAAGCAGCTGGGGAATTGTCATTCGATGATAATTTTGGCGAGGTTAAACCCTAGACGTCATTACTTGATACGTACTCTTCTTTATATTTTAATGTCGATTACTGTCAGTTGGTCATAAGAAGGTTGTTATTTATTTTTGTATTGAGTAAAAATGCCTTTTAAATTTTGTAGTTTAAAATTCGAGAAAAAATATTTTTTTGAAATATATTTGTGTGTCTGGAAACGTTCTAATATTCTTTAATGTTTCTATAATTACTGTTAATTTTTGAAAATTTTATGTCAATTTTTAGTAAATGGCGTCTAGAGATTGACCTCTCCTAAAATTATCATTTGTCATTGCCTAACCGTCTTTTACCCCGATATTTTCGATCATACGGTATTTATCTTATAAGTATTAACTGGATTTTCTTGTAATATATTACTTTAATATACCTACAAACATATATATCTAGGGGAGATATTAATCAAATCATAAATAATATACAAGGGGATTGAAGGAGAAATCATAATTAGATACTTTTTGGTTCACTTTGCCCGCTTCTTATAAGATATCTTTCCTAAATTTCCTATTACAATCTCACATATATGACATATCATTGAAAAGCTCGCTGCTTTCTCATTACTCTCTTATAGCAAAATCTTAAATAGCACAATAATTAGTTTTGCACACATAAAATTTATCAACTAATGGTTATTCTCACTATACCTTCCGTTTCGAATTTTTTTCTTCGAAAAATGGTCCTAGTATTTACTACATTTTTTGTCTCTTGTGAAAAAAAAACCCTCGCATAGTTTCTTAGAGAAATAATATTTTTCCGAAGCTGACTTCCAAAGAATGTATCAATGGGAAGCGCATAAAGCTATTATGCTCTAATAATCTAGTTGGCGAAAATAGGGAATTTTATGTTAATATCACAAATTATATTTGACAATAACGTATACAAATAATAATAATAATAATAATAGCTCCCGTATATAGCGTTTAACGCCTTGGGAGTAGCAAGGTACATCTTGCCATAATAGAGCCGTTCGGTATACAAGGAAGGTAATGTGGCTAGCATTACGCTTCAACCGCCTATTATTACCTCAGGATTGTGAATCCCAAGTACTCATTTAAGGCTGAGTCGACCTAGGTACCCAAACTATTTTTATTTTAATAAAAATAGTCGGCTGATGCAATGCCGGGTGTGGGAATCGAACCCACTACCTTGAGATTGGTAGACGAGAGCCTGTACCTCTACGCCACCGGGCACCTTACGTATATAAATGATAATAATAATTTAAAATAATTACTTCTATAAAGCAATGTACTGGTAATATATAATATAGGAACGTAAGAACGCTCTTTCCGATACGCTTCAGTCCTTCTGCCAAAAAAATCTATGAAAGGAAAGGATATGGAACGGGGACGAAACGGAAGGGAAAGGGAACGGATAGTGTGCATTGTCCAATTCATTTACATGATACAATATTTTACGTAAACAGAAGGTAGTTGATACGGAAGTTATACTGGGAATCAACCTGTAAGCAACTTTAAAATTCTCATGGCAGTTCTCATCCGTTATAATTGTATATTTGTTATATTGTTACTTATTATTGTTGATCAATATCAGTAATCACAAAAATATATAATAGCTTATATATAACAGAAAAATAAATCAAATATTATGTTAGGTATTTTACCGTATTACTAAAAAAAAACGGCGTCAAAGACGACTGGGGAAAGACAATCGATCATACTTATGGCGAGGTAAATCCCTAGACGTCATAGGTATATATGTATAAAACTTGTCAAAATTAACACTAATTACAGAAAGTTTAAAAAACGAGGTATCTATGGGATATACATACGTAACAAATCTATTTCCAAAAAATTATTAAAGTAAATGACGTCTAGAGCTTGACCTCGCCTAAATTATCATCCATTGTCATTCCTCAACCATCTTTAGCGCTGTTGTTTTAACGCGTATGGTATATACCGCATAATAAAAAAAAACGGCGTCAGCGATAGCTATGAAATGAAGCCATGGCAAATGTCTTCGAGAGGATTTGCCATTCAACTAGACGCCCTTTTTTCGATCATACGGTACACTTGATAAAGATGTTTAGCACATACCTTCTGTAGGAATTTGTGTAGATTCGGAGCCCATTGTCATTTGATCTTGCGTTGCACCGTCCTTTACATCTTGCACTAGTATACAATTTGAAGAATCAATATTTGGTTTCATCGAACTCACAGCTGAAAGTAACAAAAATTTTTATTTATAAAATACACTTATAGATATTTTTCAAAACGAAATACATAATACAAAAATATATACTTATTAAAAATTGGTATTAAGAAGTCTTTAATAAATAGTATATATGAATTGGATTGATAATTTAATATTATTGGTAAAATAATCAATCCAATAACGCCATTGTCATAAAGTGTTGAAAATCAAATGAAAGAACTGTATATTTCTTTTTCTGGTCCAAGTCATTGTCCGTCTAAATTATCACCGGTAGTGACAGTTACGATTCTTGTTTTTAAGAATGGTAAATTTTGGAATGTGGTGTGCAAACCATCCAATAATAAGAGTCGATTAAATATGAGAAATTGAATCGTGTGATTCGATTCATTAAAAAAAATCGTAATGCCAATCACTAGCTCTCGCCGTTTTGTGTTTGTTCCCTTCCAAACCTGCAAACGCATTCGCAGGCATTTTATTTGAATCGACAATCGATGGATCGACTTCGAAGCGAACGATAGCGTCAATGCGAACAGCCAAAATTTGCAAACATGTTCGTAGACCGTCCAAACTTGAGTGTCATTTGCCGTTTGGTTGTTGTTCCGGTTTGTTGTTTGGCGCAAAGTTCAGGTCTGTACGAGGCTTAATACTTTAGACTCACTTACCTGCAAAATATGTCAACATTCCCGTCAACAACACGCTAAGTAATATCAATCCGATACTGAGACATTTCCAGGAGCAGCGATGCTGGCATCTTTTGTCGATATGGAATCTGGACGGGGAGTACGGCGAGTAGTGTGACGATGCGGGTGCCGGAGCGGGTCGCAGAGGGAAAACCGGCACAACGATCGGTGCGGACGGTGGTGGCGCCACTTGCGCCGGAAGAGTGTGGTTCTGACCTCCTGACGGTAAGTTTTGACTAATTTGGGTTTGCTGGAGACTGGCCATTCTGAAAAGGATAAAAACATAAATATAACGGGCTCCGATATATTTTGTGTATTTTTTTTTGGTTGTACTCTGGATCGTTTTTATGCTCAGTCGGTGTTGCTCCATACTCCTGAGCATAGTCGTCAGTGACAAAACTAGAAAAGTTGGATTGATCATCAGTAAATCTCTGCAATCACGTACAAGGGGTAAAATTTTGTTATGGAGAAATGTATAACACGTTTTTCTGCAGTTCTGTAGACAGCGAGCGATGCTATTAACCCTATTGGCAAGCGAAGTTTTGAGTCGGTGTTTATGTGTCTAGGAGTGAATCACTATGGAGATCTAGTAAGTCGGAGAAAGAAAAATGCGAAGTATTTATTACATAACCAATTAATCCCACGTTTGATTTCATGCCCTTGGAAAAATATTTCTCTTCTTAATTCAGTACATCTTATTGTACTGAGAATATTGACAGTACTCTTCGTACTCACAAAAATCGAAGCCGACAGAAATGCCGACCCCGTTTATAGTGCTATGTAATTTTTATTAAAGGCAATATACCTGCTGAAGATATTGCTTATAACGTATGACCGAAAAAAAAACGGTGTCAACGATGGCTAGGAAATGAAGATCGCTGTTATTTTATATGTAAAACTATACGGGGAATGTCATCGATGTTCATTTCCAAGCCAACTCGACGCCGTTTTTTTTCGATCATGCGGTATAAAACATAATATCATATATAAGGATATATGGACACAAAGAAAGTAGGTTGCCTGCTTGCTGGCAATAAAGCTTGTAAGCGCCAATAATTAAATGCGCTTTTAAACATACCCGCACACAGACAAAACTGGTCGGTACTTGTTGCTAAAGCAGATAGGTGCCGACTAGAAGATATTGCTTATAACGTATGACCGAAAAAAAAAACGGTGTCAACGATGGCTAGGAAATGAAGATCGCTGTTATTTTATATGTAAAACTATACGGGGAATGTCATCGATGTTCATTTCCAAGCCAACTCGACGCCGTTTTTTTTTTCGATTATGCGGTATAAAACATAATATCATATGTAAGGATATATGGACACAAAGAAAGTAGGTTGCCTGCTTGCTGGCAAAAAAGCTTGTAAGCGCCAATAATTAAATGCGCTTTTAAACATACCCGCACACAGACAAAACTGGTCGGTACTTGTTGCTAAAGCAGATAGGTGCCGACTTTTAATCGGATTTATATGAATTTTAATTCTTGGTCGCTTGTGGTCGGTGCCGAATGTGCTTTCCGTCGCATCGATTATCTAAATATTAGTTTCAAGCATTTTCCAAATATAGAGGACAGTTTTGAACACGAGGAACAGGTCAATCAAAACATAGCTAAGCTGGAGCAGATATTTTCAGGGAAGTGCAATGCAAATGCAAGCCTTTTGGCGGAGTACTGCTAATCTTTGGAATAACAGAATTATACCTCAGAGTGAAAATGACTAGCAATCTCCAAATAAAGGTAGAAAGAGATATTTTTATTTATTATTGTTTACAGCTAAAATAATTATTATTTCACTTCTTTAAATTAAATTCATATCCATAAAATTATTATTATTACCGAAAAGCCACTAAACTGCGATACAAATAAAGAGGTTCCCCCAAAAAAGGGAGTGGTGGAGAAAACAGGAGCTATATTTAGATTCAGGATAACATTTTATATAAGAATCAGCAGAAATGGTTCCAGAGCTCGAGAAATATATTTTTTGCAGACCATTGTAATCTCACAACTTCTGACAGTCTTTAATAATATTTTTTTAAACATCACAGAAGTATTAGTTTTTGCGATGTAATTAACAATGATGATGATTAACAATGATTGAAAATGATGATTAACAATGTGATTGACAAATAAAAAAGTAATTTGACTGCCTAGTCACAAAAGTAAAACACCTTTAAGCAAACTTTAAAACATAACTTTTAAGCACACTATGCATAAAATTAGGAAAATATATTATTAAACTGACATAAAGTGTCAAATTTAACGAGCGTAACCATAGTTTCTCGATATAATATAATTACTTACAAAGTATTCCTTTTAAATCTGTTTATATTATTTGGAATGTTTGAAATTGTTTAAAAAAATATTTCTGGCATTTGAAATCGTCTATTTGGAATAAAAATGACCTTTTGTGCTTCGCCTGTATGTCGGACCTAACCACAAAAAGTATCATTTTTACTCCCAATAAAACAATATAATATATTATTATTTACAAATTTTAATTGATAGATAGACCAGGTTTGTGGTATATTGTTTATTTTTGAGGTAAAATGCTATCTAATCTAATATATAATAATAATAATAATATATCTAATGCTATAAATATATCTTAAAACTATACAGGACAGGGCGAGTCTTAAATAAGTGCAAACATTTTTAGAGGTTGGTTTATGAGTTTTTTTTTGCGAAAAAAAAATTGAAAATTTGGAATGTTTGAGAAATTTTTTGAATTGTTAGTTAAAAAAACATAATATCTTCATAATATAGTATATAACATAGGTAGTAGATTAAATTTACAAGAAAGAAAACCCAGAAAAGATTCAGTGGTTCTCAAAATCGAGAGAATAATATATAATACATATTTTTTTTAATTTTGTAAGTAAACTATCTCAGGTATTTTGGACATATTTGAAAAAATAATAAAAAAGTGGTACGAGGAAATATGTTTCTTTTATCGAGGTCTACCATCCGCAGCCATGAAAATATTTGCACTTATTTAAGACTCGGTATATTTTAAATATTTAGAATACAAATTACAATGAAGGGATTATTTGGTATAAAACCGATATAATAATGCAATATAAATTTAAAGTATGTCCAGAAAATGAAATATAAAATTTATCATATTAAACCTGTGTTTTTTTTTTCATCGGTTTATTGTCCGATAAAAACAAGTTAAGTTACATTATCGTAACACAAAAAGAACATTGAAACATCGATGAAACTCTGAAAATTCATCGAATTGGTTAAATTATAATCCAAACGACGGGATCAGCTTAAACTAATCTAATGCATATTAATGGCAGAAGTTGTGAGCTCGCAACAGCGGCGTCAAATTTGCATGGTCTGCAAATAAAAGCAATTTATATTATTGACATAGGGGGGTGAGTCTCATCTCATCCAGGACTATCGAAGCGGAAAATTATGTTTTCATAAGCAATATAGGGTGCAACCACTGAAGCTGCCGTACTGAAAATTATAGTGGACGTTAAAAAATAGCCTTAAGCTAAGGTCAGACACAGCTACTTTTACTGCGTTGCTGTCACATATAACATAGCACACGTATATCTTATCTGTGGTTCTAGTAATATGAAAAACTACGCAACTTTAGTGAACCCTCATCTGAACAAACTAACGTGCACTTTCTAAAGTTTCAGGCGTCAACGTGCCATATTTCTTTGCTGCCTGCAACATCAAAAGTAGCGACACGACGCCGACGTGCGAATAGATTTTTTTTGTTGAAACTCTTTACTGCAACATAGGCTGCATTTGACAAAAGGTAAATAAAAAAAAAATAATATAATTTTTTTTGTTGAGGTACATATATAATAATAAATACTTATTACTTTATTAAATCCTATTAATTTATATTTTATTAACATTTCTTAATATAGTTGTGTAAGATAACAATTAAATCTCAAAGTAATATTTTAAAGTCTGAAGATATTTAAACTTTTTATTATAATGAATTTTTAGTAAAAAATACTAGTAAAATCCTAAATATTAAATATCACTTTTGTATGTCGACCATATAACCAATGGTCAGTGATGTCGATGTGGTTTTATTTTTTTTAACTTATCTATGTAATTAACTAAATATCCACTAGTTACATATAGACGGCTTCCAAACTGAATTGGACCCGTGAACAAATGCTAAAACTACTTGTGGAAGATAATAAATTTTTGGGGTTTTATTGTATTTAGAACAAGAAGGCCTAATGTTTTTGCTTGCATTAATAGGGGGCGGGCACTTGGAGTGGTAGAGGAAGAAATTAAAAAAGTCCTCATCAATATCTATATTTTCTACACTTTGTTATTTTCCAAAGAAACGAGAGAAATCACTAGATACAACAAGAAACAGAAAGAAATATTTTTTATTTAGCTTATGGTTTTTATCAAACACAAATAAAATACAACACTATCAACGAAACATTAAATGCACAAAGATGTAAATGTACAAACATACAAATGTGTAGATAGATAAAAAAATGTCTTAGTATAGAGGGTGGCGCACCTCATTCGCCTCGGTTGATTTTACGAAATCGGAAAGATGTAGAAACAAAATATTTTATGGGTATATGTGCATAATTTAAAATTATTTTGATATGTACAGGGTACGTCAGAACTAAGATCCACACCAAAGTTATATATTTTCTTATGGAACGCCCGTTATTTTATTCCATATTTGGATTCATGGACACAAAATAAGGCATTTATTATAAGGGTTAAATATGATTACAAGCTTTGCTTTTTGATATTTTTAAAGATATTTAAATATGCATGCTATAATAAAAAAAGATTGTCAACACCCTGTACATTGCTGTTGAGAATTAATTCTTGTGCTGTCAATTACGGCAAAAGAGCCAATTAAGGCAAATTCATTTTCTTCACTTCAAACGACAGGTTTTTGCCTAATATATTTTTTTATATACCACACAACCAGCTCTTCGAGATAGGACAAGTAGTTTTTCAAAGTAACGCTTATCAGGAAGATTCCTCTTTAGATATCTTTGAGCACTAGTAATAGATACTGCTTTATTTTTCTTGATAAAATAATGAATACTTACTTATTAAACTATTGTAGGTAAATTTACGTAAACTGTTATAAATCTAAATAATAATGTCCATAAACTAATGTCGACTTTGAAATAAGTTACTAAATGTCACTAGAAATATTGCCATGACGACACCAGCCATCTTGATTGCGATTTTATTGGAAAATCGCTTTTAATTTAAAATCTGAGCTAGAGGTATAGGAAACCCTAA